ATATATATATTATGATGCTTTTTGTTTACTGTAAAGCTTCTGCCTGCAGAACAGACTTAAATTAAGAAATTAAGAAGAGGATAAAGCGCTTGATGGTGAATATTTCTACTTTTTTTAGTCTTAGCAGCTGTTTTCGCATCCATTCCAGTCGTTCCGCCCTGCGTTGTTTGCATCTTTGGTTTCCTGGAGCTTTATTTCGCTGAACATGAAACCGCTGCAGCTATCCTTTTTGTATTAACTAGTGTGGCACCGAAAGTATTCGCTGATACTGCATTTTATAATGAGCTAAGGTGAGATATAACTATGTTCATAATTTAGGGATTTAATTGATCAGGAATGTTTTAATGGAAAGAAGTTCCAAGCACTAATTTGTATTATAATTTCATTCTGGTTAGTAAGATGTTCATTAAACATATGTTTGTAATCTTATGTTAAGATGTATAGATGAACATTACTTTTAAGTACTACATTATAAGTAGAATTTTTAAATATTTTTTGATAATAACACTTCATTTCGGCTTGATTTTTCGCTTAGTTGTTGAGAAATTACTCTTTGTGTTAATGGAAGAACAGAAATGAAGTAGTTAGCGGAAGGGTTTTGAGGCAATGTTGTGCCAGATAGTTTAATGTTCAGTTTCACTGTGGAGATTGTGATTTGACAGAGATGCGCGATGATGATACATATGTATTCACCATCTTTCGGCTGAAATCCTTTATGATGCGGATTTTACCTTTGTATGAGCGCATTGAAGAAAATATCAATATTTAGTCATTAATAATTCTGTCACACCTTTTTTTATGGTATAAAAAATGGTATAAAAAAATTCACGGTATAAAGAAAAATTGGATATGTTGATCATATTTATTTCCTTTTTCTCTTGCAATTTTGGCTGCGATTGATACTAAGAAGTGATTAAATTATGTATTTTATTTACATGGACTTAGTTCTTTTATTTGTTTACTAAACATGTAACAATATGTTGTTTTCACATCGTACATTTTGTGGGTGCTTAATTTTTCCAATTTTAACTTGCAGCTCTAAACTCTTTAAATTTTATCTTCAGGGGAAGCCATCCTTATGTTACTGGTCTGGCAGTCATCGGTGGAATGTATTGGCTTGGATTGCAAGGCGCTATTATCGGCCCAATTCTGCTGTGCTCGATGATCGTTCTTCTGAATGTTTACGCGAAATTTGCTTATGCATAAGCAAACATTGCAAATTAGTGAGTTTGCGATTTGACTTCAGAATGTGTTTGATTTACTATAGCTTTATCTATCTTGTTTCTCTATTGAAAAAAATGAGGAACAAGTAGAAATATTGGTGGCTTCAGAATTTTTGTTGACTGAATCCCATATTTTATTGGGAAGCAATTTGTTATTTCAGAAATATTAGAACGAATTATTTTTTCTAGTGCATTAAGCTTTAGCTTATATTACTTTCAGTAATGTTTCTTTTTATTAAATTTAACCTATGCTGCTTTCTTTAGAACAGTCTCTTGATTGAAATCTAGACAGTTAAAAATAAGAATTTCAATTATCCAACGAGTTTTTTAAATTATTAGAAATAATGTCAAGTGCTAGAAATATATATCATAAGATTTTTAGCAAACTAAACTTTTTTGGTTGCTTTTAACGCGGCGTTTTGAAGACGTTGCCATCTCTCAAACAGTGTGCTGTGTAAATTTTTTTTTCAAAGCTGTTTAAAAGAAATTCTATACTTTTTTTTGTACTGCAAGCTCTCAAGAATCAGTTTCTAATCTGATTAATCTACAGTTTAGACTTTTCGAATAATGACATCATGATTGGATATTTTTTGTCAAAAGTAATCAGAATTATTCTTAGAAAGCAATGGCATATACATCTAATTATCAGAGGAACTGCTATCATTGTGATTGCTTGCTTTTTTGAATTTTTTTGTATATTGTAAATTTTATACATTGTAAAGTATAATTTTAATAAAATTGTTAGATAAATTTATATATTTGCATGCAATTTGAAAAGTTGCATTCTTTGCATATCTGATTCTACGAACATTACGAAACATTATTGAAATAAGCCCTGGAGAATAAAAAGTAAGTATCTCTTGTTAATTTGGATTCAAAAAAAGCTTTTAACAAGATATCTGTTATTCCGCGTCAGCTATGATATTGTATTCTGGCTAGTAAGATGTAAAGTTAAGATCTTGTATTACTCTTCAATAAAATTCGCAATTTGAATATAAATTTATAGATATAATCATAAATTTACTTTTAATAAAATCAATTCATGAGCATGATATTTTTTCCAGTTCTTCAGTATGGATATAGCTATTGTTTTATGCATTGAGTTGTTTATGTACAGAATAAATTATGTAAGTAAACAACGTTACTAATTGCAAATTTTAAACATTATTTACTCATATGATTTAGTGAGCGAATAATAAATAAAGTAAATATTAAATATTAAAATTTCTTAAATTTTGATAATTTTGTTGATCCTAACAATAATTTCGTATTGAGAATGTTATAAAGCAGAACAGTTGCTTTTTTTCTGGTTTTTATATTTGATTGAAATTTTATTATTAACAACTAATGTTTAGCTTGTTTTTGGGAGAATTGAATGATTTGTGAAAGAGATTAATATGTAATAGAGGCATTAAAGGGTATGTAATTTGAACTCATTTAAGTACGATAAGCGAGTATTGGTTGTTACTAATAAAGTTTCAATCAAAAAATTTTATCGCTACTATAACTGATACACTGATCAAGAATGATTAGTGTATCAGTTACAGAATAACAAACAGATATATGCATGTATGTGTACGTGGTGTGTATGGGTGCGTTCCTGTGTATGTGTGTGTGCGTGTGTATGTGTATGTGGTGTGTCTGTGTACGTGTGTGTGTGCGTGTGTGTGTGTGCGTGTGTGTGTGTGTG